TTTCCAGAAGGTCAACAATTCACTAAAAATGTTTTTTTTTATTGGTCTTATGAAGTATTCTAATTTGTTGAGATAGTGAATTGGTGGGTTTTTGTTAAATGTGAGCCAAAATCATCACAATTAAAAGAACCAAAGACTTAAACTACTTCAGTCTGTGTGCACTAAATTTATTTAATACACGAGTTTCACAATTTGAGTTGAATTACTGAAATAAATTAACTTTTCCACGACATTCTAATTTATTGAGATGCACCTGTATATGGCAGTGGAGAGAGGTGTCATCCACAACTAACAAACACACAACTGGATTACAGGACAGTGAGAAGAGTGAAATGACAGTGTCATTTCTTTTTTAAAGTGCATTTTGATTTTGGTCTAATCGAGAATTATGCTTTCTGGTTTAAACCTGTTTTTGATTTTGTTGTCTAAAAGCAAACAATGCTTCCCATAGAAGTCCAAATAAAATTAATTAATTAATTAAATAAAAATAAAAACATAAAAATAAACATGAAATGTAATAAGTAAAAATGTATTTATTATTTTTATTTCATTTATTTATCGATTTATTTTTTCATATTTTTGCTTAATTGACATTAAACATGCCGGATAGCATTACTGATTGCATTATTACATTTTTTTTATTAATTTTTCCTGTGTTTTTTTAAGTACATAACAGAAAATATGATGCATAATTAAAAACGACATCACAATTATAAACATTAAGATCTTTCGAAGTTGTCTTTACAGCAAATAAACTAAATTATTGACGAAAAAATTTAGTGAAAATTCTTCTTTCACATTATAGCTTATTTAGCTTTTGTTTATGGTGAAATTAAGCTGTATAAAGCCAAGAGATATTATTATTAGATCCTGACCTATTTATAGTTTTGCCAATTTTATCGTCCGATATGAGCCTGTCGCAGATATATTGGCACTGGCGAATATGCCGCAGATCTGCCACCAACATTTTTTACAGAAGATATAATGCAGATAACATGCTTGAAATGGTGTAATCACGACTCAGAGTCAAGCGCTGACTTAACGATAAGGTGCTAAGTAGTTTGTGAAACTAAAACTTTAACTGTAAAGTTAAAGGGGTGGTTGATTGTGATTTTACTTTTTTAACGTTAGTTAGTGTAATGTTGCTGTTTGAGCATAAACAATATCTGCAAATTTACGATGCTGAAAGTTCAATGCAAACTGAGATATTGGGCCTCATTCATGAAACACGAGCAGAACGAATTTTTGTGTAAATCGTTCATAAAGCCGTTCTGACGTAAACTTTTGAATTCATGAAAATGTTCGTATTTTCGAAATGTTAGTTGATATGAAATAAATGTACACCTGCTCCCTACCACGTGTAAATGGTGCGTAAAACGTTTAGTGTTCTTTTGGGCAAACTGATGACACTGAATTTTGATGCACTGCCATAATAATTACAAGTTTGTTTTAATTTTTTATTACATTTTTATTTTTTTTGCAGCTGAGTTGATAATTGTAAAACGCAGCGCTCGTCACTGTCACTATTTACCCAGCCATAAATAGAGGAGTGGCGGGAGTCGGGACAAATACCTAACCATCCTACTTGTACAACGACTACCTACAACGATGGGGAAGTCAATATTACTGGTTACTGCTTTATTATATTTAGTCAAATTCGTAAAAATTAGATACTAGTAGGCTAATACGTTGCCGCCGTTAATATTCCATACCATAGCAGCTAAAGCGTCTCAGCTGGAAAAACGCTGTGCCACCAAAGCGTTCTCAAGCGCCACCAGCTGGTCGTTTTAAGAAGAGTGCCTGACATTTTTTCAGCTGACTAAAAACTCTTTGGTGGTCACACACATTATTGAATATTTATTGTTAGGCATATGGCCTAGCCTTTTTTGCATTTATGCAATATACTGGAACCAAACCTGAGAAAGTAGACCAGAATAGTCCACTGCGTTCCTGGACACGCAATTTGCGTAGCTGTCATTTATAGGCGGGGATTATGCTAATTGTGAATGAGCGCGCACGAGCGCCCTATTACGAATGATTGGAATTCATTAACACACACGCTTAACTATCAAATCGGACGTTTACGAAGAGTTTGTGAATCCGGAGGAGAGTTTTTGGGAAGGTCTGTTTTGCGCGCAAATTACTCAGAATTTACACATATATTTACGCAAGTTTCATGAATGAGGCCTATTGTCTTTTAAAATTATGGCAGTTTAATGCCTACAGTTACAGCTAGTAGGGGCTACAACGAGTTACTTTCTGGGTTGGTGACATCACAAACCCTGATAAACCCCGCCCTTGGGAAAAGGCAGCAAAGGGGGCGAGGCCATGCTGCGCTGCTTTAGAGAAGAGGAAGAGTTGTTACCATGCCGTCAAAACTAGGGGTGCACGAAAAAATCTATTCATATATGAATCGCAATTCTGTCTTCTAACGATTCTAATGGATTCACAAGTTTTAAAATCAATGTTCTAAAGCAGCGGTTCTCAATCCTGTTCCTCGCGTCCCCTGCTCTGCACACGCTCTGCATCTCTCTCTCATTCAGATCATCAGCTCGTCAGCTCCATCAATGAACTGTGTTACAATTATACACTATGTGTAGACAGACAGATATTATTCACATAGCTACAAGAAGCGTTAAACATGGATGTGCACGCGGTTGCTGTGGTAGTGAGCAATACTTGCTGGCAAACACTTCTTACTGTTACAAAAATGCTATAACGCAATCATGTACTGTGCTGTACTAAAGCTTTAATCAGGATAAAACCGTATATTAGAAGCTAACATAAGAGGTAGCATTTACAAATAACACCGTATCTAAAAGTATGAGTCTACAACAAATAAAGAAACATACCATTAAGAGCCGTGCTTGCACAGGTTCTGCGCGATCCTCTTCACTAATATTCTTCGCATCTCAATCGGGCTCAAACTGATAAGCAATATTGACGACGTCATTGTTTACAATACAACCGGAGCACATTCTAAGGTGAGGGGCGGGACGCTTAGACGCGCACTAGAGGCAGTTTAGCCAATCACAAGACACTGGGCCAGCTGACCAATCAGAGCCCATTGTGTATTTCTGAGGGAGGAGCTTCATAAAAGCAGGAAATCATCAGAGCGTTCACAGGAGAAGGAACAGAGCGGTGTGGAATAAAGGTAAATTATGTGAAAAATGCGTTTCTTTAAAAATGAAGCATTAACACATGTTAGACTGCACCCCATAAACACAATCAAGCCTAGAAAAAAAACAGTCAACCACCCCTTTAATAAACAATGACCCCATAAGTTTTCCTTTTCAATATAAGTCCAACATAACGTTAACCCACCGTGGTCAAGTGAGCCATCATCTGCAAACACCCGGTCAAGCCGGCTGCCATCTGGACCTTGTTGGACCTCTGTTTGTGGCATTAACCCTGTCCCTTAAAACTGCGATATCACACATGCTTATCCCATTTCCTAAGTCAGCATAGTTTGTCAGTACAGTCAGTAACGTAGCAGATTGAAAAGTTTGTATATTTCTGCAGTCCAATAGACGGCAGTGCGGTGGTGGCTTGAGTCTGTTGAATGGTGATTTAACGCTACGTTGTCACCTAGTTGGTGAGACTCAATGCTCAGTAAATAAACAACAATGTCCCCGTCTTTTACTCTCACAATGAGCTTATCATACTCATTTGCTACATTAGTAGGGCACTATGATTTCCGTTATGCAGAAAACGAAGACGGAAGCACAGAATCTATTCATAAGAACGGAATTTACTGTATAACGCGGAATTTCACGGAATTTGTCTTATTTTTGATGAATACATAAAAAAACATGTCAGTACACTTAAATCAAATCGCGATGTAGACTAGTGTCTGTGAATATTAAACTGCAAAAAGACTATTTAAATACAAATCCTCATGTTCTGCGTGTTCATTTGATTACCAGAAAATACACAACACAGAATTTGTGAAAAAAAAAAATAACTTCATAGAAATGTTAAAAATAAAGTTTATTGTTAAATTGTTAAATACTCTGCCTCCATTGCATGTGTTTATGTATATATATTCTGTTTATGTATATACTGTATTCTATATTCAGTATCAGTCAAAAGTTTGGACACACGAATGGGAAGTGTGTCCAAAATTTGACTGGTACTGTACCATAAAGGATATCGGCTGATATATCGATATCAGATTTTTTTACTCCTTAATATCGTATCGGCCCCCAAAAACCCATATCGGTCGGGCTCGAATTATTATACTGACCTACATTAAGTTACATTTTAGCTTATGTCTACAGAAAATGTATTGCTTATGATCTTTATCATAAATAATCTTTTTACTTTGTATGAATATTTTTGTAAAATAAATATATATTTTTAATAATATTTATAATAATAATTAATATTTCTCATTCATATTAAATCAAAATTTAAGGTTTCAATCAAACCTTAAATATAATTTGACAAAAACTATTACATTTGCCTGTAACGTTTTTGTATTTTTGTTTTGTTTGTCCAAAAAAATCGTTTTTTTTCAGTGTGCTAACAACTTGACATGCACACAAGAACGCATACTATGTAAATAAAAATATTTCCTAGCTCTCCTCATTCCTAAACTCTTATTTCATGAGATTTACATGGGAATACATCAGATATTTAGAGGCATGATCACACTAGCTGGAGGACACTAAGTTAGAGGACATTAGCTGAAGGATGCTAGCTGGAGGACACTAGCTGGGTTTATGAGACGCTTTGCATCTAACCTCTCAGGTTCCTCCTCTTCTTCCTCTTGCTCTGGGTTGACAGTAGCCCCACCCACCTCCCCATCATGCCCCACCCCCTGTGCACTCGCTGTATTGGCTTCCACCTGCTCTTCCACAGAGACAGCGCCCTCCTCTCCCTGACTCTGAAGAGCCTCCGCACGGCTGACACACACACACACACACACACATACACACATACACACACATAAACCATGCCACGACACCATGAAAGGAAGCATGCAAGACAGAAAAGACACAGAAAAGACAGATATAAGCCTAGCAGACATGAGATGAAGAAAAGAAAACAAACCTTGAGCAAAATAACAGTATGAAAATGTGAAAAATTAACTCTCTTTGTTAACAAGAGCGATTCTGTGACAGAATGATGCTGTCATATACTGTGAGATTCTCTTGAGAGTTTCAGTCCTTCTGTTAATGGGTGAATCTTTTATAACTAGTGAAAAATGTCCAATCCATATTTCAAAAATACATTTTAGGCTATAAACACTTTTTGCATTGCAACATTCATGAAAAGTAAGCTTTTCTCCTCAAAATTATCATTCTCGTTTGTGCGATATGAAAATATTTAATAATAAAATGTAATAATGAAAATCAATTAATTATTTTGAAAGAAATTAATACTTTTATTCAGCAAGGATGTATTACATTAATCAAAAGAGACCATAACGTTTTTTTTTTATTCTTACAGAAATTCTATTTCAAATAAATGCTGTTCTTTTGAACCTATTCATCAAAGAATTCTGAAAAAAAAAAAAAATTGCAATGAATCACAGCTTTCACAAAAAATATGAAGCAGCATAACGGTTTTCAACACTGAAGCAAATCAGCATACTAGAATGATTTCTGAAGGATCATGTGACACTGAGGACTGGAGTAATGATGCTAAAAACACTCCTGTTTGATCACAGGAATAAATTACATTTTAAAATATATTACAATAGAAGATAAAGTGCAATAATATTTCAAAATATTATTGTATTTACTGTAACAAATAAATGCAGCTTTCATGAGCATAAGTGAGTTCTTTCAAAACCATTAATAAATCGTGCCTTACCAAACTATATGAATTGCATTACAGTAAAAAGAATTGATATGTAATTGAGAACTGAGATTTGTTTCCCTTTTGTTTTGAAGGTAAATATGAGTTGGACATTTCTTCTTGAGATTCACCTACACAAGCTTGCTCAAAACCATGTGATGTGGTCTCAGTCATTGGTAAACACACTCTTGGCAAGTTCAGAGGTTCGGATCATTTCACAAGCAGACAGAGCCCAACCTGAACTCACCAGAAGCACAGTAAGTGTGTTCCCTGACTGCAGACACATCCACAGCTATCAGGGTCAGAGGGTTTACTGTGCACTTACCTGATCCTGCGGCTCGCTCGCACCCTTTCTGACTGGACAGATATGTAGCTCGTGCTGCTAAGCCGAGATGCGCTCGACATAGCGGACACGTCGCTTACATCACTGTCCGACGACCTCATGGAGAGACTGTCCATCCCACGCTGTGAGGGGGGAGGGGAAACATGCTGATTATTACATTAAAATAATGCTGCACAAACTGCCTTCTAAACAGGAACTGCATCAATCTCACAAATGATTCCTAGTCCTTATTTCCAGTGTAAAGTGTGTTAAATGTAGTCTAGGTAGTCAGCTCATAGATTTTAAAACAGAACCAATAATTAAAATGTTTAGAAAAGTCACAAAAGATGCCATATTCCAGAACACACACCGCTCTCAGCTGTCAAAAACCAGATTTGATATAACTTATACAATTAATCAAAAGAGAACAGAGGACAGGAAGGAGATCAGCTGTTGTATAACAACAGGATTCACAGCACTCATCTTCTCTTATAGTAAACTCTACACGGATGCTATATTTCAGCAGTGTATCAGGAACACAGGTTTGACAGATACTTTTACGCTTTATGTAACCATGAGAAACAGCTTGTGTGAGGGGCACAACATGATAAAGCAACAAACAGTAAATCTTTAATGCTAATCTAAAGAGTTTTTGTTCTAACTGCAACCAAACACTGCACGATAAGCCGTTTTGGTGGTCGCTTGGGTTATATTTGTGTCGTGCTGCACTGAGAAGCTCCGCCCACTGCAAAATCTCATTGGTCCAAAACTCATACTACTTGGATACTACTAAAAAAAAAGTGCAGTGTCTTATTTAAGTTAGAAAATAAAACATTTCTCACCTTTTAAAAGTTTGGGGTTGGTAAGATTTTTTATTTGTTTTTGAAAGAAGTCTCTTAATCTCACCAAGAGTGCATTTTTTTGATAAAATAAAAACAGTAATATTGTAAAATATTATTACAGTTTAAAATAACTTCTTTCTATTGTAATATATTGTAAAATGTAATTTACTCCAGTGATCAAAGCTGGATTTTCAGCATCATTACCCCAGTCTTCAGTGTCACACGCTCCTTCAGAAAATATTATAATATGCTGATTTGCTGCTCAGGAAACATGATTATTATCATCAATGTTGAAATTATTTGTATAAATTATCATTTTTGTTCAGGATTTTTGATGAAAAGAAAGTAAAAAAAACTGCATTTATATAAATACAAGTATTTTGTAACATTATAAATGTCTTCACTGTTACTTTTGATCAATTTAATGCATCCTTGCTGGATAAAAGTATTAATTAACTTTCTTTTTTTAATTAATGAATCTTACTCACCTCAAGCTTTTGAATGGTAGTGTAACATAGGTTGTAAATTACAGACTTAAAATGAAAAGCAATGGTCAAATGTAGTCAAATGTTAGTGAATTGTGTTAATGTGATTCTCTACACACTGATTGAACACCAGTGTGAACTTGAGATAAACTGACTTCAAACATCCACTAGATATTACCAAAACATCAGTTTATTAAAACTGTTTGCACAAATTGCTAATCTTTCGCATCCAAATATCTTTTGGACCCACTGGATCCATTTTGCTTTGAGAGGAACTTCTCATTGCACCTGGTTGGAACACAGTGTAACGGTGGTGAAACTTTATATCAGCTGAAGAGTTCATTCCTTACTGTCTGCCAGCTATTCTCAACTTCTCCACTGGTGACAAAGACCAAACGACTGGCATCGGACATGTTTGTAAATGTGCTTAAAATATCAAGGGAGTTAAGCAGCAAATGATCCATTGGCTGAGACTTCTCCTCTCCGAATGAAGTCACCATGACGAAAAGCTCCTCTATTCCCAAATAACTACTACTGCTTTACTATAGAAGGACACAAAACACTGAGGAAATAAACTCAAGCAATAAGAGAAAGAAACATACCCTTGATGGATCCTTCAAAGTGCCTGTGTGGAAAGACAAACAAGGGTTAGATGCACTGAAGCACAGCATGTGACACTGCATTGTTGCTTGTTACATACAAATACACATCAGCAAACTTCAAAGTGACACACGGCTGACATAAATGTATATGGTCAGCATTTTTCAACTGTATCTGATCCAGTCAACACAAATAACCAGAAAGAAAACATAATGCCAGTAACCGGCAGAATGAAAACTGATTTGACCAGTTATTCAAAGTAACTTCTGTTTTATGAACATGTTTGATCAGCAGATTGAACAGCCATCACTGATTCCGCAAGAGTAAAGAAGAGACTGCATCTTTAAATCTTGTGCTGTATGTCTACTAAACATTTCCTTTGTTAAGTTTTAGGAGTACGCTTGCATATACTGTACTGTAGATAAGCTCAAAACGAACACATGATTAGATTAGATAAGACTTTTATTGTCCCAAAGGAAAATTGTCTTGGACGCATACAATCCAGTGACTGCTGCTTAAATAAGTAACACATACACAACACATACACAAACTGCTATCAACCAACCAGTTGCACACTACATCATACAACACACCTGTAATCGTCATAATAATAAGATTCAATACAAAAAAAAAATATATATATACATGAATATCGTTATCGTTACAATTAAAACACCGTTATGGGGGCAAACCTCTGGCTGACTTGTCATTTAAAGCTTTGATGGACAGAGGGACGAAGGAATTCTTAAAGCGGTTAAGCCTGCACTGGGGAAATCTAAAGCGTCTTCCTGAGGGAAGAAGCTGATATTCAGGGTGGAGGACATGGGTGGGATCTGAAATAATTTTTGCCTGTCTGTGATGATGGTTTCAGCAAAGACAGCCTGAAGTGTGGGATGCTGCTTAACTCCCATGATTTTCATGGCTCTCTGTGTTAACCGTGTAATCTGTGCTTTCAGCTGTACACTGAGATTGCCAAACCAGGCAGAGATGCCATACCGCAGAAGGCTCTCAATTACAGCATGATAGAAGAGAAGCAACACTCTCTGGTTAACACCAAAGACCCTCAGCCTACGTAAAAAGTGTAGTCGCTGTTGAACCTTAGTACAGATGTTTTCTACCTGGACACTCCATGTCAGCTTGTTATCAATGTGTATGCCTAGATATCTGTAGGAATCAACCTGGACTATGTTCTGGTCATTGATGGCCACTGGTAAGTGGTCTCCAATGGATTTGGGATCAAACACCATCTCCACTGTTTTCTTAGTGTTGATGATGAGAGAATGCTTGTCGCACCACTGAACAGAGTTCTGAACCTCATGTTTATATGCAACAGAATCTGATGTATCTAACATGAGACCCAGGATAACTGTATCATCAGAGAACTTAATCATGTAATTGTTAGCAGTACTACATGTACATGAGCTCATAACGCAGCAATGAACAAAAAGCCACAAAAATAACGAGTTCACAGAGTCCCTGTGTTTTATAAGCTTATTTAAAATTATAAGCTTTTGAACTTTTATCACACATATTCAATACAACTCATCAACCAACACAGGAAACGCTCATATTTCAACACTTGGTTTTAACACTGATGCCTTGGATGTTTGGATTGATATAGCGGTAAATCATTGAATTCCACATGTTTTAAAATATCAACATTAATGCAATGAATTACAACAAATCTAATCGACTTCTGTATGGAAGATACAACATGATATCCTAATTCGGTGAATCACTGAAAAGACCAGAGTAACTCTTTGGATGCTGGTCTTCGATATGTGATGCTGGTGTCTCCACTCCATCAACTTAACCAGCAAAACTCGATCCTGGTTACGCAAGTTAACGACTCCAGCTAGTTAAGAAACCTGGTCTAACTGTTTTTTATCAGAAAGATGATACTGCTGACTCTTACACAGTAAGCTTAGTTATGGAAATCCATAAACATCTGAACAGGGTGTGAACTCTCAGTACAAAAAAAGAGGTACAAAAATGTGTACCTTTCGGAGTACAACAGCTTGTCACTGGGCAGGGTTGCCAGGTTTTCACAACAAAACCCGCCCAATTGCTACTCAAAACTAGCCCATAACTAGCCCAATTGCATTTCGAGGGGGGTCAACCATTAAAAATTGCATTGCTAAGATACACGTTTTTTTTTGGTGGGGTTCCCCAGTAAAATTCGCATTTCAGTGGCTAAATATTGTGTTATTGGGGTCGCTTCAACCCGTGGCAACAGTGTTAATGTAGCCCAATTCTGCGGGAAAACCCTGGACTTGGCAACACTGTCACTGGGCCAGTAACCTCAAAGGCACAACAAAGGGACAACCATCTTTACTCCTATAGCTCAAAGTATACGTTGTTTTTGTACGTGTACGCTAGCGTATGCGTACAGTCAAATGTGTAGCCTTTCAAAGTGTACTCCACTTGATAGTGTGCCTGCACTATTTTTCTCCAGAAGTTATGACTGATGAAAATGTTGTTGTACTGTTTTAAAATAAAGTTGCGTCTGTCTCATAACCCCCTCACAAAGCGTTTGTCAATGCGTCTTTCTGTTGTTGTTGTTGCAGTCTCCGTAATGTTGTTGCTGTTCCATCTCTTTAGTTTCATTTTCTACTGTGAAACAGCAGCCCGGGCCAGTGCTGTCACCTTGTGGAACAACTGAGTAGTGCAAAACACACTCAATATGCATGTGCAAACTGCGCATACAAAGTAAATCGGGTGGTGCGTATACTATTCTGGTCAAAAAAATGGCAAAGTATACTTTGTTTTTACGAGTATGCAAGGGTCTGCGTACAGTGCGCGTGACGCAAATTTCATCACCAGAATAGTATGTGTACTGTACACACAGCATCCGATTTTTGTAACCGCACATACTTTGTACGCACATTTCGCATTGAGTTTGTTTTGCACTAATCAGTTGTTCCACAAGGTTGTTCATTAGTACAAAATGAAACTAAAGAGACGGAACAACATCAAAACAGCGGAGACTGCAACAACTACACCCACATTGACAAGCGCTTGTGTGAGGGGGTTGTGGGATAGACACAACTTTAGGCTAAAAGAGTACAAAGACATTTTTAATGGTCATAACCTCTGGAGAAAAATAGCGCAGACACTGGACAAAGATGAAGCTTTCAACTGCCTGCATTCGCGTACACCTGAAATGGACTATATTTTGAAATACTTGGGCCTAAATTTGCGTTACATGCACTGTACACAGACCCTTGCGTATACGTATTCTTTGGGCTTAAAGGGTGCATATTAGTACATTATATTAGTAATGCACCCTTAAGGTAATAATGTGCACTCTAATGGTACTAATATGCACCCTTTAGTGGTTAAGAAGATGTCTTTTTGAAGGAACTGCCCCAGTGATAAGCTGTTGTACCCCTCAAAGTACACTTTTTGCAAGTTAAAACTTGCACACTTTAATAAACTCTTTATACAAGACCGTTCAAAAGTTTGAGGCCAGAAAGTTCTCATCACTGGTTTTACTGTAGTAAAAATACAGTAATATTGTGAAATATTATTGCGATTTAAAACAATTGTTTTCTATTTTTCAGGATTGTTTGATGAATGGAAAGTTCAAAAGAACAGTATTTAAATAAAACAGAAGTAGTTTATAACAGTGTGAAAGTATTTACTGTCACTCTTGATCAATTTAATGCATCCTTGCTGAATAAAAGTATGAATTTCTTTTAAAGAAACTGACCTCAAACTCTTGAACTTTTGTGCAGTTGCGATGTTTTAAACTCTTTTAGCAATTCTACGCAATCATATACACTGCTTATTCCAGCACACACACACACACACACAGGCGCGCACACACACACACACACACACACGCACACGCACACACGCAAGCACATGCGCACACACACACACACACATGCGCACACGCACACGCACACACACACACGCACACACGCGTCTCCAAAGGTTGTTTTGAAGGGCTTTATGTTGGTGCTACACAAACTCAATCTGTATACAATACCTGCATCTCCATTCTCTGACACTGTTGACTCTGACACTACAGCTGATGTGTGGATGAGAGGAAAACAAGACAGTTTAGACAGACACACGATGTGATGATGGACACACACTCTCACACACAAACAGAGTTTAGATGAATTTCATTCAGAAACTCATCACTCCTAACATGCCGAAACAAACGTAAAACAGATCTGAGAAATCCAACACCAAAAAAAACAACCCTTTAAAAGATGTAAAGCATCAAAACAAAGAACTGATGCATACTTTGAGCAAAGGTTAATGAAATACATAAATCTCAAACACACACTACAGACAGACCACCATCGATAGCCTATTTTCCGCACTACATACTACAAGCAATGCTACAATTTACAAAGCATTTATAATCACTCACATGCTATTGTCTCAATTCGGCTCTCATTTAAAGTTTAATTTGAAAAGCAAAATCTTATAAAATGACATTTACAACAAAAAGGCCATTATCAGTTCAGTAGCTTTCCAAAATCCCACAAGCCTCCACTTTTCCTATGTTAGTGCTGTAAATGTAATGATTCATATAGTTTATTCTATTGTTCTGCTTTTCATATTTACTTCAATTGTAAGTAATAATAATTCCAGAAACGGAAACATACATGTTTGTGTATCATAAGGTATCAGTGAGAACTGTTCGTCTCAGCATCAATAAAAGGGTGTTAATTAATTCATCATGTAAATCACTAGGAATGTGGCCTTACGTCTACCTCAAGTTGCTATAGTGACGCCAAAGAAAAACTAGCAGTTCAATTTGATGTCTCTACTTGAACCTTCAGAAGGTTCAGTCTTAGCTAATAACACAGCAGCAACAAGAGCAGCGAGAGCAGAGTGAAGAGCAGAAATCTAGATCCCTCAGAAGCACACTAGGATTGATCTACTCTACTAAGGGCCGATGAAGAGCACAGGTTGTGCCATACCAAGAGCTTTCTTCTGCTGGTCCTCCCATGTCACCTCTGAAGTTACAACACAAGCAGAAACAATCAATGCTCCTGCTTAACAAAACTGTTCATCAGATGTGCGTAGTACAGGCCTGCAGAGCGCACATACTGTATAAGGCACATTTAAGCATGTCCAATTTACAATTTTGCACAATTTACCCTTATAGTGTTAAAAAGTTATTTTTTCTCTATAACGAAATAAAAAAAAAATCTATATTTTTTCACTTGTACTAATTAATTAAAAAAGAACGTTAAACAAAAAAAATAGCAATTTATTATTTTAGTAATTTATTAGTAGTCATTTATATCATTTATTTATTTTGCGTGTATTTTATATAAAAAATACTAAAAAACATAGCTTTAGTTCTAACTATGAAAGTGAAGCTGATTTTTTAGTTCTTTTTTTTTTTTAAGGAGTGCTATTGAGCCATCTACATGTGATTGAAGGTTTACACATGGGTACAGTGACTTAAAAAACATAATAATAACCAATTAGAACAATAGTGCAGCTTGGTGTGAAACCAGAATTTCTAAACATTTTCAATAACAAAATAGGTTTCTTAATGGCATCACCAACACAATCATAGCATGCTATACTATATATCTGATGACAACCGTATAAACAGTAAGTACTGCAAATGTATACAACATCTACTTGTACTAAATCTATCCAGCACAAACACACAGTAAAACACACTTGCCTTTCCTCCCATTGACAGCTGGGGGAGCTACAGGCTTTTCCTGGGATTCTTGTGTGGGAAACGGCACACACATAAACAGAGGGTGAGTCGAATGATCAGTGTGTCCCACAAACACACAGGAACACTCTAACCAAGTTAAAACACACACACATGCTCACGCTCAAGAGAAGTTACCAACACTATTAAAATAAAGTAAAATAAATAAATAAATAAATATTGCCGTAAGCTAAATAAATGATGTAAAGAAACAGGCACTCAGACTATGTTCAGAACAGCATACTACTCCACTGTTTTTGTGCAGTGTGCAGTTTCTAGCATGCTACTGACTGTATTATTGAAATAATCGCAAGCAGTATACAGTGCATAGGGCCCTATGATTTCTGCAATGCAGAAAATGAATACAGAATCTATAATATATAATGGAATTTACTGTATAATGCAGAATGTCACAGCAAAGTTTGGATTAATAAATCAAAAGTAGGGCTGTACAGTTGAAATCACGATATGGACTAAAATCTGTGAATATTAAACAGCAAAAGACTGTCATTTAAATATGAAGTGTGCATGTTCTGCTTGTCTCTGTCTAATATACATACTGAAGCACGCATTACGCATTTATGAATTCAACTGATTACCACAGTTTTTGACAATAAAAAAAAAAATGAAACCATTTAAAAAATTTAAATGCAATTTATAGAAAAAAAACAACAACATTTCATTGGGCACTATTACTGTTACATTTTTAAAGCTGCAGTCCGTATCTTTTGGTGCTCTAGCGGTTAATGAACAGAACTGCATGCGTCTTGCGGAAGAACATTGCGACTGGAGCTACTTCTCACTGTTTATGTCTATGAAGAAGCACGCAGGTACCGGGCTACTCCGCAGCGGTTCCACCAGAACCAGTCTGAAATATAAAATATAAATCCGAATATAAAAACTACTTATAGGTGTACTGTAGTGATTCAGGACAAACCAAAAACACGGTTTGGAATGTGGATTCATGAAGTACTCGCTTATTATATAAATTTAGTACATTTTGAACACAGAAAAATTACAGACTGCAGCTTTAAATATATTTTTAAAGTTTTATGAATTCAACTGATTAACACTTCTTGATTATTCATATTTAAGTAAACCATTAAAATAATTAAGAAAAAATAAGTGTATACTGTGCAGTATGCAGTACACTAGTATTTATAAGACTCTAAGTGCATAACATGCAGTACGCATTAAGCAGTACACTAGTATTTATAAGGCTCTAAGTGTATACAGTGCAGTACGCATTAAGCAGTACACTACTATTTGTAAGGCCCTAAGTGTATACAGTGCAGTACGCATTAAGCAGTACACTAGTATTTGTAAGGCCTTAAGTGTATACAGTGCAGTACGCATTAAGCAGTAGACTAGTATTTGTAAGGCTCTAAGTGTATACAGTGCAGTACGCATTAAGCAGTACACTAGTATTTGTAAGGCCTTAAGTGTATACAGTGCAGTACGCATTAAGCAGTACACTAGTATTTGTAAGGCCCTAAGTGTATACAGTGCAGTACACATTAAGCAGTGCACTTGTATTTGTAAGGCCCTAAGTGTATACTGTGCAGTACGCATTAAGCAGTGCACTTGTATTTGTAAGGCCCTAAGTGTATACTGTGCAGTACGCATTAAGCAGTGCACTTGTATTTGTAAGGCCCTAAGTGTATACTGTGCAGTACGCATTAAGCAGTGCACTTGTATTTGTAAGGCCCTAAGTGTATACTGTGCAGTACGCATTAAGCAGTGCACTTGTATTTGTAAGGCCCTAAGTGTATACTGTGCAGTACGCATTAAGCAGTGCACTTGTATTTGTAAGGCCCTAAGTGTATACTGTGCAGTACGCATTAAGCAGTACACTAGTATTTGTAAGGCCCTAAGTGTATACTGTGCAGTACGCATTAAGCAGTACACTAGTATTTGTAAGGCCCTAAGTGTATACTGTGCAGTACGCATTAAGCAGTACACTAGTATTTGTAAGGCCCTAAGTGTATACCGCGTAGTATGCATTGAGCAGTACGCTAGTATTTATAAGGCCCTAAGTGTATACAGTGTAGTATGCATTAAGCAGTACACTAGTATTTGTAAGGCCCTAAGTGTATACAGTGTAGTATGCATTAAGCAGTGCACTTGTATTTGTAAGGCACTAAGTGTATACTGCGCAATATGCATTAAGCAGTACACTAGTATTTGTAAGGCCCTAAGTGTATACAGTGCAGTACGCATTAAGCAGTACACTAGTATTTGTAAGGCCCTAAGTGTATACCGCGTAGTATGCATTGAGCAGTACGCTAGTATTTATAAGATCCTAAGTGTGTACGCATTAAGCAGTACACTAGTATTTGTAAGGCCCTAAGTGTATACCGCGTAGTATGCATTGAGCAGTATGCTAGTATTTATAAGATCCTAAGTGTGTACGCATTAAGCAGTACACTAGTATTTGTAAGGCCCTAAGTGTATACCGCGTAGTATGCATTGAGCAGTATGCTAGTATTTATAAGATCCTAAGTGTGTACGCATTAAGCAGTACACTAGTATTTATAAGGCCCTAAGTGTATACAGTGCAGTACGCATTAAGCAGTACACTAGTATTTGTAAGGCTCTAAGTGTATACAGTGCAATATGCATTAAGCAGTACAATAGTATTTATAAGGCCCTAAGTGTATACTGTGTGGTATACAGTAAGTAGTACACTAGTATTGCATTCCAAACATAGGCAGTGTGCTGGTGTTCAGCTCATCTGCATTGACACACCTGGCTCAGAAGCCTGCGAGACGAGCGGTGAGGATGATGATGGAGCAGCAGGAGGAGGAGGGGCGGGAGCAGGAGCTGGAGGGGGAGGGGCATGTGTGGGTGGGGGAGTGGCAACTGAAGAAGGTGGATGGGTGTGTGCAGGAGGTGGAGGAGCATGTGTAGGAGGAGGTAAGGGGGCATGGGTGGCAGCAGGGCCCGGGACAGGAGACTCCATCCCCATATGAGCTTTGATGATGACAATGAAGACAACAGGATTGGCAGAGACAGAGTTGTGGACAAAAAGACAAAAAGAAACACAAGAAAATTAACGAGAGGATCACATGGATTAATATTTATAAAATGTATTTATGCACCGAGAAAAAAAAAAAAGATCATAAGCCTTAAAATAGTTACACGCTACTATAACAGATATTGTTAACCGAAACTTTGACATGAGAAAAAAAGCAGTGTCCATATGAAATTATCCACTTTAACTTATTTATTATAGTTTTTATTATAGTTTATCATATTTTCTTGTGATATAATATTTACTATTTTCATAATTTATAATAATGCAATTTCCCAGAATATTTTTATTAGCTTTATTATTTGGTAAAATAGTTTTTTTTTCCAACTCTGAGCTTGTGTAATATGTAAACTATTGTTCAAAAGTTTGGGACTTTATTATATATATTTTAATGGTTTTGAAATAAGTCTCTTGTTATCACCAAGGCTGCAATTTATTTGATCAAAAATACAGATACATTTCTTATTATTGCATAGAAATCTTTTGTAGAAATGTAAAAGTTTTACTGTTACTTTTGATCAATTTAATGCAACCTTGCTGAATGGGAAAAAAAAAACCTTACTAACCACAAATTTTGAACGGTAGTATATAGACTTGCATATAACAGGTTATATAGTAACTTAACAAGTGGCAGGAAAAAATATAATATTTTATAGAATACCATTATTCCAAACAAAGTCTAATTTTCAATCAGCATTTTTTATTTTGGCGCAACACCAATAAATATAAGATGACACACACACACACAACAAGGCAGTTTGTGCCACTGTATTGTTATTTTTTTAATTATTATTTGTTTATTCTTATTATTTGATCAAATGGCTATCTTTGCTATGTATTACCAGCCATTGCTTGTGTG